TGCCAAGAGCCAGGCCTGCATGTGGCCCTCGAGACTGGGGCAGGGAGGGGTACCAGGGCAAGGCTGTGCCCACAGGGCACCAGGCCCAGCAAGGACAAGGGCTGGCCCTGGGCAGCTGCTCCCCAACACTCACACCTCACGGCCCTTCTGTTGTCGCTAGAGAGAGGGTCAGGGACCTCAAATGAAGGAAGCTAGAGACACAGGGAGCTGCCCACACAGCCAGGTGTCCACACAGCCACGGCCAGCCCAGCCCTCCAGAAACACCACCAAACAGCCAGCACCAGCCCCTGCGCACCACACACCCACAGACACACAGACACAACCTTCGCAGGCACCTATAACACAATCACACCAAACACACCTACACACCACACCACACATACCTTCACACACACCAAATACACACCTATACACAGATACACCTACACATAAACCCACAGGAAGCTGCACTGGCGAGGGTAGTCCGGGAAAGGCACCACGTCACTGGGATCCTACAGGGATCTCTCCACAGGAGGGACAGCCAAGCGCCGGGTAAAGCCCCAGCTCCTCCACAGTCTGGAAGCATGCAGACCACCAGCCCTGGCCCGAGGGCTCCCACACACCACAGCAGCTCCACACCACGGGAGCTCCACGCACAGGCCAGGGGCCCAGCTCTCCAACACTGCATGTGGGCAGCTTGGCCTGACAAGTACTTCCGCCACACCTGACACTGGCAAAGGCCAGAACAGCGTAATGGGCAATGGCACACGAGCAGGCAGGGCTGTGGCAAGCAGGCCCCGCCACCTCCTTCTGGGGGACATGGAGAGGGGAGGCTGGGTGCACCTAGAACCGTGAAATCAGAGGGGACTGGGCCACAAGGATTTTGAGCTGTGCAAACCCTTGCCACAGGATGCCCATGTGCCCATTTCAGATACCCATCCATTTTTCCCTCATGAGCTTTTTAAAAAAATTTATTTAAGTGCAAAGTCAGATTTATAGAGATAAGAGGCAAGAGAGGAAGATCTGTCTGATGGTTCACTCCCATGTGACCCAATGGCTGGAGCTGAGCCAATCCGAAACCAGGAGCCAGGATCCTCCTCCAGGTCTCCCACACAGGTGCAGGTTCCCAAGGCTTTGGGCCGTCCACCACTGCTTTCCCAGGCCACAAGCAGGGAGCTGGATGGGAAGCTGGGCCACTGAGATTTAGAACTGGCACCCATATGAGATCCTGGTGCGCAAGGCGAGGACTTTAGCTGGTTAGGGTGCCATGCTGGACCCTCTCGTGCATTTTCTGAGTGTAGCTGCCATGGCACCCTCGGGCCCAGAGCCTGGCTCTCATTCTCTGTAATGGCTTCTTCCCTCTCGCTCACCCTGCATGCTGCAGCGTGCGTCACACCCTTCCTTAAACAGTCTTACCTGCCACCGGCATCTCACACGAGCACCAACTGCTCCACTTCCGATCCAGCCCCCTGCTCACACGGGAGCCGGGGCTGGAAGCAGGCCAGACTAAAGCCAGCCCCTGCCAGCGCACCCCTGCGACACAGCAGGATGGAACAGCCGCCACTGGACAAGATTCCGGTTCCGAAAGAAACGAGGTACAAAGAGCTCCCCAAGATGGCCCCGCCCTCACAGTGGCCAACATGTCACCACCATGCTGGCTCCCTGGAGACAACAGACCAAAACACCTCAAGACCCCGGGCGGTAAGACCCCAGCGGCTTGCTCTTCCACCAGCCCCTCTGCTCTGAGCGTCTCTCTTACGTGAACCAAACTTCCCTTCTCTCACCACGGTGTCCGGCCTTGTATGTCGTGGCGGACACCAGGACCCAGACCCGTTCTCTAACCCTGCTGCCCCAGGAGGAAAGTGAAGGATGGCCAAACGCCTGGGCCCCTGCCCCTCACGCAATGCCCGGAAGACGATCTCCTGCCTTCTGCCTTTGGGGAAGCGAACCAGCAGGTGGAAGCACTCTACCTCCCTGAGCGGCAGCACCGTTACCACCTGTGCGACGCGCGGTTCCGCACTCGGGCGGCTCAGGGCTGGTGTCCACGGCCCTACATTCTACTAAGCATCCACCCAGCGCACCTCGCCGACGTGCCTACACCTCTGAGGTGCTGGCCCTGTCCCAGGGTGCCCATCCTGTTCACCCGCCACCCAGGGCACTCTGCCTTAGCAGGCTCAGTTCCTGCTTACAGCTGCATGGAGACCCACACTGGGCTCTGGCTCGGCAAAGCGGGGGCACTCTAGTCGCGGCTGGTCAGCAACATCTTCCACAGCAACCTGGGAACCCCACACCCCAACGCCCCAAAGCCTGGTCCGGCAGGTGTGGCTGCGGCAGGCTGGTAGGCTTTTCCAGGCCCGAGGTGGCCGGTAACACAAGTCAGGAGGGGCGGCGGCCTGGGGAAGTGGAAAACTTGAGCAAGGTACTTACCTCCGCAGGTCCTCCCAGTGTCGGAGACGCTGGCAACTGGCGACGAAGGCTGCAGCCACACCAGGTGTCCAGGCTGTCCTCACGCCGCCCTGCAGCGGGTGGCACTGAGACCAGGCTCCGCGGAGGTGAAGAGCACTCCAGGGAGGCGAAGGCTCCGCAGTGCACTCTGGGAGCTGACTGCACGGGGGCCCAGCCTGCCCCAGGTGAGCCAGGAGGTCACAGGTGAGGCCCATGGAAGGGCAGGGCCTCCCACCCACAGGTGGCTGTTGAGTGGACCCACGGGCCCTCTGAGGTCAGACCTGAGACTTCCTGCTTTCCCGCCTGCCGGTGCAGAGAGCAGGAAGTCGGCGGCGGGGGCGGGGTAAATGAACAGATTCACACTCTGACACACAGGGACGGGGTCCTGCACCCTTCCCGCACAGGTTTCTGCTGACGTCACGTAGCAAGCGGGTGTGCTCAGGTGCTGTGAGCTTTTGAGCACAGCGAAGCTTTCCATCTTCCAAGTAAAAAACTTAATCAGAATTTAGGCTTGGGGCCAGGTGCGACAGCCTAACGGTTAAAGTCCTTGCCTTACATGTGCCATGATCCCATCTGACCACCAGTTCTAGTCCCGGCAGCCCCGCTTCCCATCCAGCTCCCTGCTTATGACCTGAGAAAGCAGTCGAGGACTGACCGAAGCCTTGGGACCCTGCATCCGTGTGGGAGACCCTGAAGCTCCTGGCTTCGGGTCAGCTCAGCTCGAGCCGTTGTGGCCATTAGTGGAGTGCATCATCAGACGGAAGATCTTCCACTCTGTACATCTGATTTTGCAATAAAAATAAATGTTAAAACACACACAAAAAACACAGGGGCCCAGTGTGGTGGCCTAGTGGCTAAAGTCCTTGCCTTGAATATGCCAAGATCCTATATGGGCGCAGGTTCTAATCCTGGCAGCCCCGCTTCCCATCCAGCTCCCTGCCTGTGGCCTGGGAAGGCAGAGACGGCCCAAAGCTTTGGGACCCTGCACCAGCGTGGGAGACCTGGAGGAAAGTTCCTGACTCCTCGCTTCGGATCCGTGCAGCATAAGCCGTTGCAGTCACTTGGGGAGTGAATCATCGGACGAGGATCTTCCTCTCTCTTTCCTCCTCTCTGTATAACTGACTTTGCAATAAAAATGAATAAATCCTTAAAAAACAGAAGTAAATCTCTAAAAAAAGAAAAATAAACACAGAATTCAGGCTTGCCACTCGGTCTGGGAACCTGTCTCACAGGGAGTCACACTCAGGTGTGAGGCTTACAGATGCAGGCCACAGCTGACCTCACCACATTCAGCCCAAGCGGGCTGGCCCGAGGAAGGGCTGCCCATGCCAGGTCCCTGGCAGCCCCCTCCCCAGGGTTCCCGGGTGGTGGGAGAATGGCAGGAGGCCAGCAGCACCCTCCGGACACACACCACCCCCACCAGCTTGGCAGCAGCACCTCCCAACCCCTGACCACAGCAGGGAACTTCTGAATACTTTTGTAAAATTTCCCATGGGGCATCAGGCGAGCCCCCGTCCACAGCCCCTCCCCCTGAGCAGGCCAGCAAGGGGGCAGGACTTGGTCACAACACTCAATTCTGGCTATGTGGCATCCGGACACTGGGGGTGGCAGGTGGGCTGCAAGGGCCAGCCAGAGCTGTGGGATCTGACCGTGTTCCTGGGGTCCCACAAGGGGGGCATCAGCTGAGTCAGTGGTAAGGTCAGCAAGCTCCTCAGGGCCTCTGGCTCTGGCCCCTTCCACCCCTGGTGTGGATCTACCAAGGGAGTTGCAGCCGCGACGCCTGAGCTGGTCCTCACTCTGAGGCTGCGGGCGGGGAGGAACCAGGGATTAACACAGGGTGATGCCACGATGCAAGAACACAGGACAGACACGTCACTCCTGGCGTCCATGCCAGGAGGGGAGTCCAAGGAGGGCGCCGAGAGAAGGCTAGGGGAAACATGCTCTGCAAAGTACCCCGCCTGGGCAGCAGCAGAATGGGGTCGTGTGGCGAACTCCATGCAGGCACAAGCCAGAGGGCAGCCAGCCCGACTCCCATGGACTGAACTGGTGAGGGGGCTGAGGCAGCAGGCAAGGCTGCAGCCAGAGCACTGGGGCCTCTAGGTGTCACCTCCTGGCCACACAACCCCAGTGGGGCTTTGGACCCTTGCTGCGCTCCAACCAAGGGAGGCTGCCCAGGCCCAGTATGGCTGGCACAGACCCTCGCCCACTAGTAAACTGCAGTAATCGGCCATCTGGCTGAACGCTGCACAGGTAATTCTGTATTCTTCAGCAAACAGCTTTCCATTCACATCACTCTGCAGCACCGTGGACAGCAGCTGCGCAGACCTGCCCTCTCTTCCCCCCTAACTGCAGACTCGAGGAACCCTCAGCGTGCTGGGTCCATCCACGCCAAGCCAGGCCTTCCTGAACCCTTGGGATTTGAGTCTGCACGATGACCCAGGCCAGAGGATACGATATCTTAGCACCAGGGAAGGGCAGAGTCTTTTTAGGAACTTTCTGCGGCTGAATCAATGCTTTGAGACTAAGAAGGAAGTAGCCTGCTAAGGGCTTCTGCTCACACCACCCTGGCACACAACTGTACAAAGCACTTTTATTAGTTAACTGCCAAGGCGCACCCCTGCCATGTTCTCACCACACCCATGTTGCCCATTGGCCCAGGCACAGCCAGGGACCAGCTGCGCACCTAGGAAAGCTGTCCTGCACCTAGCAGCTGGCAGCTTAAGGCATCACTAACTTGCAGAAGGAAGCGAATTACAAGGGAAGGTCTGCTCGGCCCAGGAGTGCAGGGCCAGCTGCGCGGCCTTCCAGGGCAATGACCCTGGACTTGGGAGGTGGGTCACTCCTGCAAGGCCACTCGCGTCCCAGACGAAGTGGTCTCCTCCAGGAGCCTCATCAGAACACCCTGCCCGCAGCTGCACGTGTGGGTCCCAGCGCTCCGTGGTCCTCCCTGCTGTGGGAAGGCACGTCCTGCAGGCTGGCCAGGCCAGGAGCTCGGTGCTGGGCTCCCACGCTTGCCACGCACGGTATTTCTGTCCTCTCAGGGCAGCTCCCACGGCGTGCAGGGTCCGGGGATCGCTCGGCGCAGGCGGCACGTCGAGCTGCCCTCACTGCATGCCGAACCACTGCTCCTGGTCGGCCCACTGGGCCGCCTCACTGTCGCTGCCCTCCAGGTCCCCTTCTTCCCCACTCCCTTCCATGTCGTCCACATCCTCCTCCTGAGTGGCATCCGTGGGGCTCTCCTCCTTCTCCATCTTCTGCATCCCCTCTAGAGACTTCTGGTCATTGGGGTCCAAACTAGGGGACAACAAAACAAAGGAGAGGCCTGAGTTCCCGTCTTGCTTCTTGCTGGTGACACGTCCTGTCCCGGCCCTCGGCAACACTGCTCCAAGGCTGAATCGGAAAGTCTGCCACCACAGGGCAAAGAGCATTCTCTTCCTCTAATTCTTACAGCCCAAACTGAGTATTTTTCTCCACAAATTTCTTAAGCCTTCTAACACCTATTACTACTAGCACTCAGTTAGAGGCAGCTATCAGATCATACTAATGCAAAAGTGGCACACAAACATCAGGAGAAAATTCCAATGTCCTTTCTTAAAGAATGATTTAGGTTTTGAGCTAGGAGGTTACAAATAGTCACTTTCTTGTGAAATGGTTCCATAGTCTCATGACACAATTACGGCAGCATTTTGTGGCCAATGGAACATGCGATAGCTCGAGACACACTGAGCACACCTGGGTTTGCCCCAGGATCGGTCTCAGCCTACCTGGGCATTCCCACTCAGGGGCTGAGTCACCCCCTGGGCTCCTCCTTCAGAGGTCAGGACTGCGCACTCAGGTCCTGGACTCAGAAAAGCTCCCCTCGCCTGAAGGACAATCACCCAGCCAACACGTGTCCATCACCAGCAAAGCCTCCAATGCAAGTCCGGAACTGTACTTGTTTTCACTTGACTCTGAGCTTCCAAAAAGGCAGCCAAAATCCAGGCTGGAATCCCCTTCCCACCGACATCAACACGCTGACACCTGCCCCTTGGCCTCAGCTGCACCCAGGCTCCGCCCTGACGCCCACCTGGCCTCCCACAACTGCTATGAAAGCAGGCGGCGCTCCGCTCAAAGACAGTCCTCAGCATGACCTCGCAGACACACAACCCTCAAAGAAACCACTTCTGCTTTCAACAGTAAGAATCCACTATTTATTTAGTATTCACTATGTACCAGGCACAGCGCTAAGAGCTTTACATGGAATGACCAGTGAATCCTCAGTCACTTAACACCTAACAAGGTAGAAAGATATAGACAAGGGAATGTGTTAGTAAGTTCCAGGATGACAGAGAAGGTGTCAGAAGCCATGTTTTCAACAGTAGATAGAAACATGGGCAGGTACTTACAGTACTGTGACTTGAAAAGCAGAATAAAAAAATATGCACTAGGTGTAACGCTATGGAAACGTGTGTGTGGGCGAGGACAGGAAGATGACCCACAGATGAGCGTGGGTGGAACGTGGTGTGGGCTGCTTAGAACTGTGAGACAACTTTTTAATGTCAATCTACTTGATGAGGAGATTTTGGAAAGTCATGAATTCCAAGTAACCCAGCACTCCGCTGTTTGTGCTGCTTTTGCCCGTGAGCACGAGCGTGTCCCCAGACTCCCGCCTCCTGGGCCCTCCTCACCGAGCTGCCCCAGGAGGCGCAGTGCCTACCTTAGTGCTATACTGTACTGGTCCATCGCCTCCTGGTACTCATTGACAGCTACCAGGAAATCCCCCAGGATGCGGTGCAAAACACAGTCACTCTGATTGGCCAGTGCGCTCCTGAGCAAGGCAATTCCATCTTCATATTTCTGTTCTCTGCCTGCAAATAAAAAGACTCTCACTGTCCTACTTTAACATTATTTTGAGAATAAGTTTTCCCAGCTCAACTCACATACACAAAGCCACGTAACTATGACTAGCTGGCCCTCACTGATGGTGGTGTGACACAAAGCGACAGCAAATGCAGCAGCTGCTGCTGCCAGGAACCTGCAGCGTGAGTTCTGACTTTCTAAACGTGCTCCTAACTTTAAGTTAAATAAAAACCCCATGGAATTTGATTTCCCAAACGAGCCCAAAATCAGGATCTCATCATAAACTAGGATGGGAAACCCAAGGGTAACAGGGAAGTCACAGGACAATTCAGAAATCGGCTAAAATCAAACACTTAACTTCAATGTACAGAAGTTCAGGACAAGCAAATACACACACACAATGAACCGAACAGGTACCAACCGACTACAGCTGGCATGAGCTAGTCTCAGCAAGCCCAGGCCAGCCCCACTTGGTGACACTGAGTGGTCTCTGACTTGCTACAAACACACACCCTTGTCTGGTCATCTGTGAGTCCAACCAAGATCAGATTTTGTAAAACAAACAAATAGATAAATAAATAAAAACGATGATGATGGACACAGTAAACAGAGTATACTTACTAAGCAGCTCTGCTTTTTTCACCACAGCCTTGATGTAATCTGGCCGCTGGGTGAGGGCTTTGTCCAATAAGCTTTTGGCTTTCTCCTGCGTCACTGGGTCTTCGAGACAGACAGTGGCTAAGAGGGTAAGGGTCTGCGCACTGGCCCCCAGCGTCTTGTACACGTTGTTGGCCATGACCATCGCCTCACGGACACTGCTGGAGGCCAAGTAACACTCGACAAGACCTGAGGAAACAACATGCGCAGTTCAGTGCCGCTCCTGCTCCTGACCACGCACCCTCAGGCAGCACTCAGTGTCGCACACAGCGCAGGCCAGGGGGAGACTCGGCAGCGAGAGGAGACTGCAGGGCCTGTGGCAGGAGCAGCCGGGGCTGCCTCTTCCTCAGGGCCTCTGATGGACATGAAAACAGCCAGCCGTGCCAAGGGACCTTCAGCAAGGAGCCACACACGTGAGCACACAGCAGCACTGACGGCCATCTTCCACATGGCTGGGACTCAAGCAGCCGGATGAAGGTGGGCAGCTGCACCTCAGCCTAAGAGGCGAGGCTCCCACTGCTCCCCAAGTGACTGGACACTGCTGCAAACCGAACGGCTGGCTGTCCAATAACCCAGAGAGCGCGGCCCGTCAGATGGAGCGAACACACCCAGGCCTCCTGTAACACTCAGAGATGGGCAGTGACGCCAAGAAGTTGAAACGAACAGAGAGAACTTCTGGCATGAAGCACTGAAGACTCGTCACAACAGAAAACCAGCTCAAACCCCACGCCCACACGATCCCTGCCGGGTTTCCCCGCAGACTCCTCCACCCTAGTCAGCAGCACTTATAACATCTGTGCACTGTTCTACACACCATTGGTGACAGAACCGGAAATTACCTAAAGTTAATTAAGGACAACACGTCAAGTTGAAATTGTGGCAGTTTCCAATCACATATTAAGTAGTTTTACTTCAGAAGTGGAAAAGAATGTTCTTCACTAACCAGCAAAGGAAGGCACCTCACTGGGGTTACCAGAGAGCATAGCCAGGGTTCCCCGGATCCACATCTTCAAAGGAGGTTTGGCAAAAGCCTGGGAAGCCAAGTGGGAACACCACCATTAAAGCACATCGAAAAGGGGGACACGTACCCCCAGCTTGGGGACACAGGTAAACCGAAGGTTCAAACTAATGAGACAGAACACCTGGCAGGGTAAGGACAGTTACAGCTTTACGATGAAGAATGCAAGCTGAAAGCAAAGGGTTAGCTGGCTGGAGCTTGCACCCCCCACCTCCACCAGGCACAGCCTCCAGTTACCTAAGCAGGCCTGTCCTTCCCCAGCTTCCAAATTTACTTCTCAGATTTGAACTCATCTTCCTGCTGAGAGCAAAACCACTGAGACTCCGAGACTTATTTTTAAATTCTTACAATAAAAATGTTTTGGAGGAACTACATCTTGTAAGATCTATTTTAAATGTCTCTGAGTCACCAAATGTTGCTGAAGTTGGCACAGCTCCTTTCAACTCCAAGGGTCAGTTCACATGAACTCAAACAAGAACACAAAGCTGAACCCCAAACCCCAATCTGCAAGTCCCAATGAAGATAGATATTGGCCCCCAGCCAGCACTGTCCCCTCCGCATGGACACTCAGCTGGCCAAGGTAGGCCAAGCTGGAAAGGGGAATAGAACCTAGTGATTTAGCACAGTGCTAGGCACGGAGAGCGACATGCAAACCAACAAAACTCTGGGGAACAGCACAGTGGTACAGCAGCAGGGCAAGTCACTGCCCAGGAAGCTAGAATCCCAGGGAGAGTCAGGCCGCAGGCCGGCTGTCCCACTGCCCGTCTGGCTCCCTGCCCATACACCTGCAGCGCAGAAGATGGCCCAAGTCCTTGAGCCTTGTCATCCACATGGGTAACCCACAAGAAATTCCTGGTTCTTGGCCTTGACCTGGCCCGACCCTGGCTGTTGCAGCTTTTGGAGAGCAAATTACCAGATGAAGAGCTCTCTCCTCTCTGTAACTCTGTCTTTCCAATAAATAAATGAGAGAGGAAACAATCCTATGCAAATACCCCTCACAAAAAATGAGAATAAGGGGCCCGGCACAACAATGTAATGGTTAAAGTCCTTGCTTGAACATCCTGGGATCCCGTGTGGGCACCAGTTCTAATCCCGGCAGCTCCACTTCCCATCCAGCTCCCTGCTTGTGGCCTGGGAAAGTAGTGGAAGACGGCCCAAAGCCTTGGGACCCTGCACCCGCGTGGGAGACCTGGAAAGAAGTTCCTGGCTCCTGGCTTTGGATTGGCCCAGCACCGGCCATTGCGGCCACTTGGGGAGTAAATCACTGGACGGAAGATCTTCCTCTCTGTCTCTCCTCCTCTCTGTACATCTGCCTTTTCAATAAAATAAATAAATCTTTAAAAAGAGAGAGAGAGAGTAGGGCCTAATGCGGTGGCTGAGTGGCTAAAATCCTCACCCTCCACACCACAGATCCCATATGGGCGCCAGTTAATATCCCAGTTTTTACACTTCCCTTCCAGCTCCCTCTCTGTGGCCTGGGAAAGCAGTGGAACATGACCCAAAGCCTGTGTGGGAGACATGGAAGAAGCTCCTGGCTTCTGGCTTTGGATCAACTCAGCTTCGGCCACTGTGGCCACTTGGGGAGTGAATCAGCAGACAGATCTTTCTCTCTATAAATCTACCTTTCAAATACAAATAAATAAATCTTAAAATAAAATAAAGGCCTGGCACAGTAGCCTAGTGGCCAAAATCCTTGCCTTCCAATCGTAAGCATCCCATATGGGCATAGGTTCATGTCCTGGCTGCCCTACTTGCCGCTGAGCTCCCTGCTTCTGACTTGGGAAAGCAGTGGAGGATGGTCCAAAGCCTGTGTGGGAGACATGGAAGAAGCTCCTGGCTCCTGGCTTTGTACTGACTCAGCTCCAGCTGTTACGGCCACTGGGGTTAACCAGTGGGTAAAAGGTGTTTCTATCTCCTCTCTCTGTAAACCTGTCTTTCCAATCAAAATAATTAAATCCTAAAACAAAACCCAGAAAAACTCATACAACTGAACAAGAATGAGAAAAACGAACTCTCAAAGAAGTGAAAAAAATCCAGTCAAAGCCTTAAATATACACGGTCTAATCTGCTCACACACGGAGATCACCTGCATACTGCCAACACTTACTCCCATTGAGCCTCACAGACAGCGGCGGGGAAAGCGGCAGCGCTGACGAGCCTGCCAGGCTGAGTGCTGCTGCCAGCCCTGGAGATCCACCCCACCAACTGTCATGTGCCACCTTACCTTCATAACAATCTAAGCGACAAGGTGCCAGCCGGATGGCCTCTCGGAAATGGATGATAGCTTCCTGGACTCGGCCCATGTTCCTCAGGGCTGCCCCCTTCAGAAGCAGTGCCTGGACACTGCTGCTGTTGAGCTGGATGGCCTTGGCTCCCAAGTACAGGGCCCGGGAGTAGCGCTTGCTGTAGAAACTGTGACACCTGGGAGAAACCGCCAGAGCTTAGCTGGGAGGAAACACTGACCCGCGTCATCATAAACAACAAGATGGCCCAATGCCTGGTCCTTACTCCACACCACGGGAGGTCGCTTTTTGGTTTTGTTTTAATAGATTTATTTATTTGCAAGGCAAATTCTACAGAGAGGAGAGAGATCCTCCACTTGCTGGTTCATTCCTCAAATGAACACTAGCCAGAGTTGAGATGATCTGAAGCCAGGAGCCAGGAGCTTTCCCTGGGCCTCCCATGTGGGTACAGGGTCCCAAGGCTTTGGGCCGTCCTCCTCTGCTTCCAGGTTATAAGCAGGGAGCTGGATGGGAAATGAACCAGCTGGGAAGTGAACAGGTGCCCAACCAGGAAGCTGGTACCACAGTTGGGGGATTACTTTGTAGAGCCACAGCACCTGATCCACCACAGTGAGTTTTAACCTGAGCAGGGCACATCTGTACAAATAATGTCACTGAAACTCCCACTTCTCTTGTCAGAGTGCTCGACTCAAGCATGAGTTCCGGTCCCAGTGACGCATGCCCTAGAACAGGCCTCCACCACCCGTGTGACCGCTCTCATCTAATTCCCAGCCACAGGCATGTGAGCAGCAAGCTGGACAAGGGTTCTCTCCTTTCTCTGCTTCCCACATCAGTGAAAGGCAGGCAACGTGTAACAGCAGACGCTAACAGAGCTCCGACTCCCGCCAACAGTCAGCCGTCAGCCAGGGTACAGCCCAAGACGGGCACACTCGCTCATTCAGCACACGCCTCTCCCGGGGGCCTGAACCATTTCCCCAGGGAAGAAATCTTCCTGAGGCAGTGTGTCCAGACTCACAGAAAGGTCACACTCTGAAAGCAGCTCTGCGGCCTTCTTAAACCTCTGCTTTCAACCTGGATCTTGAGAATCACTGTCTCAAACAATCTAGAAACAGAAAGCAAAATGTAAAAATGTACCCGGAGACCACCCAGGGTTCTGCGTGCTGATCAGAAATATTGAAGAGGCGGCAGCCGAGGTTCTCCACGTCCTCCAGCCGTCCTTCCCGGGCCAGCAGGTAGCCATAGACGTCCATCCCTAGAAGAGAAGGCCGCCGTGACAAGCCCTTCACACCCAGCACACGGAGACAGAATTCCACAACCAGCTTGGGGCCCTCGTGCTGCAGGCTGAGCCCCTCCCAGCACGGTGAGCTTGCCCACCAGCACTTCCAGTGTGTCATCAAGTGACTACTGGGAAGCAAAACCCTTCCAAAACCAGTAACTCAATGAGCAAAGGAGCACAAGGGCCTCTGTCCATCACACAGCCTATTACTTCCAGGAACTGGTTGTCCTCATATCCAGCGGTGTGACACAGCTTTTCTCATTCAACCAGAAGGGCCCAAAAAGGCATCAGGAAAGCTCTCATTACCAAGAGCTCCAGGCAGTCAGACACATACTTATGCTGGAAAAGCCAGTTCGCCTTAGAGAGAGTTGACCTCTCCCAAAGAGTTGACCTTCCTTCTGGAATGAAGTTCATTCAAGATCACTGCCTTTGCTGCTCCAACATCCACCCAGCTTCCCTGCTCACCTCTGCAAAGGGACCATGTTTTATCAGCATCTCCTCCTCTGAGGAGCACCCCTGGTAAGAACACGTCTTGAGCCAGTTGCGCTAATGCTCCTGCTGGCCTCAGCCTGAGCTCCAACGGCACAGAGAACGGGCACTGGGCAGGAGGGGACCTCATACTCATACAACCAGTGTATCTCTCCAGATGTGCTTGCTTGTCAAGCCAAGCTCCCTCCCTGCTCTATCACTGAACCTCTAAGATAAGAGTGGATGTTGGCTGTACTTAGCTGCCATGGCTTGAGACATCTGCATCCCTTATCAAAGTGCTGGTTCGAGACCTAGTTACTCCACTTCCAATCCAACTTCCTGCTACCCAAGGGCCGGGGCCCCTGCAACTGACAGCAGAGACCCAGAGCGAGTGTTGGGTTCCCTGTGGGAATTTGGGAAGTAAACCAGCATACCTCTCCTTCTCCCCTCCTCCTCTGCTCTAGAAGTAGATGAAAATAAAAATAACCTTAAAACACAAGAACTTACAGGACTGTTCCCTGCTACCGCCATGGGCCCCCAGTCCTGAGCACTCACACCTTCCACCCGCGGCCAGTCACCCAGCAGTAACCTCTGGACATCCCTGGACCCTGGCCTCAGCTGTGACCTTCCAGATCAATGGTTTTTCTGTTCTTCATTCCTAGGTACTGCCTTTCACATTATCCCTTTGTCCACATCTGTTCATGTACTCATTTTTAATTATACTAAGAACACAGTAAAACCAAATGCCCTAAAAGGACAGTATGCCTCTGGGGATGCCAGCCAAATTCTTAGTCAGGCACATCATAACTCCACAAATCCTAAGGACAACCGTGATCTCCTGCGACCCCCTTCAAATCAAACAAACTCAAATAATGATCTGTGGGGAGATGATGCGTGAATTCCAGCAAGCACAACTGCTCAAAATGGAATCCTGAACAAAGTGAAAGGCTGCTCTAACCAACCTTCCAAGAAGCATCCCGGAAACAGGGATCCAGGCTTCCCAGGACGTCCTGCCCAGCCCCTGCAGGCACCGAGCCTTGCCTGGAGAGACTTACCTTTTATCAGGTAAGGATCCAACATCTGCGCCTGCTCAAACTTCAGGACAGAGTTTTTATTGTCTCCAGCTCTGAAGTAGAGATCGGCTAAGCTTCCCAGGAGGTCCACATTATCTCGCAGTAAGGATTTCTTCTCCAGCGAACTTTAAAACATTAAACAGTGAATTGTACAGTCTACAAGAAATGTATTTAGTTGTAGAATCTGAAGGTTAAACATATAAATACTAATTACTTTTGGCTATGAATAAAATCCGATAAAAAACCTTTGTAAATTAACTGCATACACTGTATTTTCTTATTCTGAGCTTATGATAACAGCAAATCCACAGAATACAACAGCGCTCTCTTACTGCCTACCAAGGACTTTCTGGCTGCAGGTTTCATAGGAACAAACACTACATGATGCTCAGTGTAAAGCCACAAACTGGAAGCTAACACAAAGGTCAGCCTCTTGTCCTCATCTGGACAAAGGGAAAGGTCCAGCCCCGTGTCAAAGGCTGGCTCATCATGTTCGGAGGAACTCAAGACGACCCCAGCCAGCCTGCTTCAAGGGGTGGCTTCTTCACAGGAACAGAGCAGAGCTAGGGCCGACAGCTCACCTTGCCCAACCCATGTGGCACTACTCTACACGAGAAGAGAAGACACAGCCCAGGGACAACCTGCTGCAATGACACACCAAGAGGTGAACATCTCACGCTCCTGCTCTCCCGATTTACACACACTGCACCTCCCGACAAGGGGCCTCAAGTCTCACCAAATGGTGTTGATTGCTCTCGAGTTGTCACCAGTATGCACAAACGCATAGGCTTTGATCCACACGGAGAGCCAGTCCAAGTTAGGCACAGTCTGGATCACATTCATTGTCATGGAGGCCACCTCTGCACCTTTCACAGAAAGAGACAGCAAACCTAGTGCAACACAAAGCAGGAGACAAGGCAGTGAGCGCTGTACCCACTTCTGTCCTAAAGGACGTAACGGACACACCTTCCCTAAGGTACCAAGCACTCTTCCCATCCTAAGCAACACTAGACCCTAATTTAACATTCCTTGAACAGAAATGTGACAGCAGGAATCCCATTCAGTCAATCGTGAAGAGGAAGCGAGAGCTGGCATAGGGGTAACAAGCTGCTTGGTGAGTTTGGCATGATGGTTCAGTGGCTAACGCCTCGCCTTGCACACACACGGATCCCAACTGCTCCACTTCCCATCCAGCTCCCTGCTTGTGGCCTGGGAAAGCAGCTGAGGACGGCCCAAAGCCTTGGGACCCTGCACCCACATGGGAGATCCAGAGGAGGCTCCTGGCTCCTGGCTTCAGATCAGCTCAGCTCTGGCCGTTGTGGCCATCTGGGGGGGAAGGGGGAACCAGCAGACAGATCTTTCTGTTGGCCTCTTCTCTCTGTAAATCTGCCTTTCCAATAAAAATAAATCTTAAAAAACAAACCAAACTAAAAAAACCCAGCCGCTGCTGGACATGCCTGCATCTAAGTCTCTCCCATTCTGATTCCTGCTCTTTGCTTATGTACAACTGGGAGACAGTAGCTGATGGCTCAAGCAGTTGGGTTCCAGCTCTCACAGGAAGCACCTGGACCAGGTTCCTGGCTCATACACACTCAGGTAGCAAACCAGTGGATCAGAGTTCTGTCTCTCAAATAAATTAGGCAAAATTATAAGAAACAAATTTCTAAAAATCAAAGCTAGCTTTCCGCAGAGGCAGTATCATAGCCAGTGAGGTTTATCCGAGGCACGATTACTGATAATTAAAAATCAAAGCTACATTACGATCTAGCCAAGAGCGAGGACTACTCTGGTGGACAGAAAGCCAGCCGTGACAACAGCCGAGAACTGAGCCATACCCAGAATGGCATCGAGGGCCAAGGGGCACTGCCGCAGCACCTCCTTGTAGCTTGTGACGGAAGGCCGCTCCTGACCTGCCTTCTTGTACAGACTGGCCAGCATCATGTTTATCTGTATGAAAAATAAAGGACAGCATATCACACGTGAACCGCCATGAAAGCATCTCATCATGAAAAGGTCTTGTCGCTTCTCACTGGCCCCTGCACTGCTGCTTCCAGGATAATCTAGTCATGACCTAAACAACAAGCCCACTCTGCAAAACTAAGAAGGAACCCCGACCCTTCCTTATCCTAGGTAGACCCATTCCTCAAAGCCACAGTGCCCCTTCAGCCACCCAAGAGGCCTGGGGAACACCTAGGCCAGAGACACTGCCTCTGGAAACACAAACAACACTTAGTAGAGAATGTCCCAGAAGCCTTAGAAATGCCTAAAAATGCCCTAGAATGCTTGATTTTTTTTTTTTTACATTAAGATGAACTTACCCCAAGCTGCTCAAGTATGTACATTTTAAACCGAATATTAAGGGAAGGAATTAAGGACTCTAGCACAGCTCTAATGAAGAATCAGTTGGGGGCAGCACCACCAACCATGAGTGAAGCCACTACTGTGGAACCAGAATCATCCCATATGGTGCCAGTTTGTGTCCCGGCTGTAGGAGGACATTATGAGCCTGGAAGGTCAGCAAGCACAGGTTTGCAGTTCATTGGACAGTATTTGCATGACAACAACCAAATGACTACCTTTGGTATAAACAGCATGTAAATGAGAACACCTGGTGTAATATACAAAACAAAAGGAATTCCAATCAAGAGAGGGAAACAGTAGGGACTCTCAGTGTATAAAGTCTGATGCCCCTAATAAACTTCGGCTTTGACCATCAGTCAGGGTCCACGCCGTATTATTATGCTCCGTGCACCAAGTCCGTCACTGCGGGACAGAGACAAGTGGCGCCTGAACAGGGACTTGAAAGAAGAGAAAGTGCAGCGGAGACCCCCACAGGAAGTGGTGAGTGGGACAATGGGCCAGAACCAGTGTAAGGCACAGTCGTTTATCTCCCTTGTGCAGAATTTTTTAGTGAAAAGTGGAACAAAGGTAACTAGGCAGCAATTGCGTTCTTATTTGGAGCTTATTGGTGAATATAATCGTTGGTCTCCAGATGAATGGACACTAGAAACTGGACTTAAGAATTTTACTCAGAAAAATGCTGAAAAAGCCGGAAGGATAGAAGATATTCAAGTTAGTTTTTGGACTATATCAGCTTTAATTAGAGCTGTTATTATAATTTTAGAAGGGGAATGTGCAAGAAACTCCCTTTAAGAGGAGACACCCCCAAAGGGTAGCCAAAAAAGAAGTGTTTCATAATATGGACAAGGAAGAAAGAGAAAGAGGACTCTTAAGAGGTCCACCTAACAGGAAAGGCTACTGTAATATTTTTAAAAAAGAAACGTCTCATAGTACAGATGAGGAGGATGGCAAAGAGCAGCCTGTGAGAGATTTCCCTAACGGGAGACACCACCGTAATGTGGCTAGGAAAGAAATGGCTTATACTACAGATGAAGATGAAAAAGAATGTGTTAGAGACCCTCCTGTGAGGACATGCCACTGTAATGCAGCTAAAAGAGAAAGGCCTTATGCTGCAGATGTGGAAATTAGGAAAAGAAAACTCAGGAGAGATTCTCCTAATGGAAGATGTTACCATAATGTGACTGAAAATGAAATGAGAACTAAGAAAAAGAAGAAAATTTGTAGTGTTAAACCACAGGATTTCTCTAGTGAGGTAAACAAGGATGGGATAATGGAAGGGTTAAATACCAGCCCATGCCATCTCACTCTTAAATCTGATCAAAGACGTTTCCAAATGTCTGATGTTCCCCAGAGACCTCATGAACTCCAACTGCTTTTTCCAATCATACTTAGTCAAGAAAACCATCAACCTATCTATGAAAGCCCAGATGTTAATGCCATCACAGCTTTTAAAAAGGCTTGCGTGTCCTACGGACCTACTTCTTCGTATGTATGGGAATATTTAAATGGCTGGAGCCAGGGAGCAAACTGGATTCCTTATGATTTTGAAGTAATAGCAAAAATAGGACTTTCTCCTTCTCAATATTTACAATGGAAAATGTGGAGAAGCGATATGGCTAAGGAAAAATTGCGATAGTTGGGAGCATCAGGTCGCCAACTCCCTGGAGGGGGGCAATTGACTTATGATATGTTAGTCGGAGATGGACAATGGGTTACTACAGAGCAGCAGATACTGCTACCTCAAGCTGCGCTCATTCATATACGAGACGTAGCATTGTGGGCATGGGAGAAAATTGAAGCTGGGTCTGAATTTGCAGGCAGTTATACAAAAGTCTTTCAAGGAGCCAGAGAATCTTATGCTGATTTTGTAAGGCGTTTGACAGACTCCATAGAAAAACAAGTTAGAGGAGAAGGCACTAGAAAATTGTTATTAAAGCAACTGGCTTTTGAGAATGCAAATGAGGACTGCCTGACTGTTATTCTTCCTATAAAAGAAAAGGAAGATCTTTTGGGTTACCTCAAAGCCTGTCGCAACATAGGCACATTTAAACACCATGCTCGCCTAGCAGCACTTGAAACTTTTGCCATTCAAAAGCAAATTAATGCTAAATGTTTTAACTGTGGCAAGCCAGGACACCTGAGAAAATTGCCGGATGCTTCCTACAACTCAAAGATACCACGCTGATACTTCTAACAGTCACTGCCCAGGAATATGTCCCAAGTGCCAAAGAGGCCGGCACTGCAAAAAGGAATGTAAATCTAAAGTTGATCATGGTGGCAGACGCCTGTGGCCAGAAGACTCCTGGAGAAGCCATTCCCAGGTCCCAAACATTCAGGAGTTTACAAAACAGGAACTTTTTATTCAATTTGTGCCTGCAGAGAAGCTTCAAACTTAAAATAGCCAGCAAGTAAATCCTGGAGGCTGAAATTCCAATCAATTGTGGTGAATGCATGTTATTCATATAGCACTTTTTCTATACAGCATTGCTTAATCATGTATGCCAATTTTTAAGTACAAATTTTTACATTAAGTTATGTTCTCTGTCTCATTAAGTTCTTATTGTTTAAAATTAACAAAGTGATGTTCTTGCTTTAAGGAGTATTTGGGCATCATATCGTTATAAGGTGAAAGTTTGCTGTTTTTGTGTTAATGTACCCAGGTTGTAACTGCATGTCTTTTGGAATATTTTATAATGCTGAGGACACTGGAATACAAGAAAACTGGGATACAGGCCTTCAGTTTAACTGCTAGATTTCACAATATTGACCAATTTCAATGTCTTTTGTTGTGATAAATGTTTAGCTAACTGATTTCATCTGCATATCCATTGCAACTTTTGGGAACTTGGAATTCAAAGAAAAGACTGGGCTTTTGTAAATCTTGAAGGTTTTTTGGGGAGACATTTTTAAAAAAGGAGTGAAATTTTATCGTAATTTTGGTATAGAATTGAACTGTAACACACTGTTAGATTATTTCAAGCTATAAGTTAAATTAATGTGATATTGTCTACAAAGTGTTTGCATGTATTGATGTAATTCCCCTTTTTTTTCGCTAGTTATCAAATGTCTCACTGCCTTTAATGTGTCAAGGTTTTGTATTTGTTTTAAAGATATTTGAGTGACGTTCTCACATCAATAACCAATTGTAATGTATAATGTGTCATGCTAACTTCAACAACAAATCTTTCAGATATTTCCAGCTACCTTTAAAAAAGCATTTAAGTATTCAAAGGTTTCAAATCCTAGGGCTTCCCTTGGTATTCTTACGAGGCCTCAAGAATGCCAACGGATCTATCTCCTGTTTTGTGGAGACAGTTGACCAGGCTATTGAATTATATTAAGATTACTGCCAAATGCAAAATGGAGTAAAATTTTATTGTGTCAAAATGTTGTATGCTTCCATGGAATTGTGAAGGTTTAAATTTTAGTTTACATGCTTTTAATGATTTAGCTCTAAAGTTGTATCTGGTTGTTTACTAGACATTCTTAGGATGCCTATATTACTGGGAAGACTGAAATTTGCATTTTTAGATTGATAGAGGGATTTCATAGCGGCGATCAATGTTTTTCACCGAGTTTCTTGGTTCAAGATTATTGATGTAATATCATTTCACTTACAGATTTCTGGTGAACACTACTACTAAGCTTGGTTGAGAATAATATTTTAAGTCTCCAAAAGTGTGTGTGTGTCTGTGTGTGTGCACGCATACATGTGTGTCTTAACATTTTGTCTTTTGTAAAAGTTGTTTAAAATTGTTATCATGTGTTGCTGTTTGTTTAGCAACAAGAGCAGGTGGCCTTGGGATTGAGAGAGGAGTTAGAGTGGGTAGGGTAGTAGGCAGTTAGGGTATTCTGGGTCCCCAAGCAAAAGAGAATTTCCCCACCATGTCTTGGACTCACCAGAGCACTCTTTCAAGGGACAGGGGTGCTATTAGCATATCAATTCCCAACCTGAAGTATTGGCCATCCCCTCTGGTCATTGTGGGAGGGCCTCAGGCTGATCTCTTTATCATTGAAAGGAGAGCAGGAAGAAGTAATACACATCGCCTAAGGCCTGGAATGTCCTATGTCTGGTATCTCTGTGACCTTTTGTCCCAAGGCCAGGTACCTTGGAAACCAGGAATTTTCTTTGTTTATGGAGAAACATCTTTGAGGGAAACCTTTAAAAGGTGCATTCCCCACCATTGATCCGGGTTCTTCTTCTCTTCCTGCCACTATGGCAGAGGGTTCTTGTCTTCCTGCCACTATGGCAGAACACTGGGGTCCTTTTCCTCCTGCCACTATGGCAGGGGGTGAGGGCCCTTTCTATCTCAAAACCCCCTCCCGTCACTAGGACGGGAGTCTTCTCTTCTCAGCTTTTCTAATAAATCTTGCGTTAAAACTAAACTGTGTCCGCATGAAAATTCTTCTTTCCTGCGAGACAAGAATTTGAGGTTGCTGCCATACTTGGAGTCAAAAATCCTGCAACAGGATTATGACAACCTACAGCCACTCCCCAGAGCTTTCTTATAGAATTATAAAAGTATCTACATGATTTTAAACTGTTACTAAATCTAATTTACTTTGTCCAACAATATATGTTTTAAAATCAGAGGGGGGAATATGCTACCCCTGTGCGTGCATTAATTTGGTCTTATTCACCTTAAATTTTCTTCAGATTTTGCCTTATAGTGAGCAGCAGCTCTGTGTTACTGGAGGCAGTTTGCAGGCCCAACGCAGATGTCTTTGGTTTGATGGAGGGACCTAGCCACTCACAAGTGTAGAGGTCCTGACTCCTTGCTAACTGTGGGAAGAGGATATGCTTATTTTCCCAGGAACTGAGCTGCAGCCTGTGTAGATGCCTACTCGTAATGTAAAGTCTTGGACTCCATTCACTGGAGGAAGCGCCTGCAGTAAGACAGCTTCACGACCTCATCCTGAAAGATCCATCACCATCAAGGAAATATTGGAGGAGGAGGACAGACCACTCCCAATACCAGGTGACATGGGAGGTTCTAAGAGATTGGTGCATCAAGCACAACTGTCCCTGACATGATGTACTTGATAATACAACTGAATGATTGATACTGTGGAACACTAATAATCTATGGGAAAGGTTATGCTCTTATCCCTAGAATTTCCTGATAGATCCTCAAAACTGTGGTTCCCCTATGGCTCATCTGACCTTGGAAGTGCAGCTACTCCCTTCAACGCAGCGCTGCCCCTGGAGAAGATGGAACCCCCAGTGGAACTGCCTCTAAGAACTGAAAACTAAATTGGTTTAATATTCCTCTTGTTCCACTACAGGTCAGGAGTGCAGAGAAATTCTCCACCTTCTTAGGATGTTTGAGGAAGACTTTAAGTGTAAATTATTATTCATAGATAATAAATTCTTAACTGCCTTAGACATTAGAAAAGCCATATTAGTGGTGGGATCCAAGGACGACTCTGACACCCTCTTAAAGGAGGTTGTGTGTACAGAGCAGGAAGGGATCTCAGGGCGGAGCAGGAGGATAAGAGGAGCTCTCTATCCTAGTCCCAGAGACCCCCGGAGGTCTCCCATGTGCTTTCACTACAGAAGCAGTGGATGCCTGCCTCATCAAGGAGGACCATATCCCGACTGCCAAGGGGATTACAAGGAAGGTGAGTGCCCTTGGAGGCCAAGAACTCTGTGAATTTCCCACACGGGATTGAAGCAGCCCAGTTCCCTCGTGATAGGGTCTGATGACATTGGAACTTCAGCCAGGAGCCCCGGGTGGCACTCAGAGACAAGTGGACTCGGAGGAGGAGCTTGCTCTAATTCTTACCTAGCTCCAGCCGTGGTTCCTAGCCCTCTCTTACACCGACCATCAGGGTTGCTTGTGAGCCCCAAAATTATTTTAGATACTAGAGACTAATAAAGGTCAGCTAACTGATAATCACCCAACTTGTACCTAACTGATCAGGCTACAGAGAGACATGGATATAGAGTATTTGGAACAGTCAGAACAAAGGCCATTAACTTAAAATCGCTCAGCCTGTACTTACTGGTCAGGCTCCCTATTTGCTTTTCATGGACTTTACTAGGTTAGGATATAGTTAAATTCTTCCTCATTCACTAGGTTGTTAGAGATTTCCCTGCTCACCTGCCTAACACTTTTCTATGATTTGGTAGAATTATAAGACTGTTTTGATTATCCTAAATGCATAGAAATCTGTAAAAATCACACTTCAATTATATAAATGGCAAGGCTTAAATTGTAAGTTGAGATTCTCCCCAAAACTTTCATCAACTGTTAATACTAACTGTATAGAAACTATGATGTTAAGTTTATACTCAGCTGTTACATATGATGGATGTTAACTGTTCAGTGTTCCTGTGCAACTATGATTTAGGTTAAATTCAAAAACATGTTAGCTTGGAAGACATTATAGCTATTATTTTTATAGTATATATAACATTGTTTCTCCCCATTCTTCTGCTCTTCCAAGAGCATGTTCCCCCAGCTACAAGTTTCAGGCCTAATTTTATAAAACACAGAAGGGGGATCTGTAGGCGTACATTGTGAGCCTGGAAGGTCAGCAAGCACAGGTTTGCAGTTCATTGGACAGTATTTGCATGACAACAACCAAATGACTACCTTTGGTATAAACAGCATGTAAATGAGAACACCTGGTGTAATATACAAAACAAAAGGAATTCCAATCAAGAGAGGGAAACAGTAGGGACTCTCATGCTCCGTGCACCAAGTCTGTCACTGCGGGACAGCGACAAGTGGCTGCCCCACTTTCCATCCAGCTCCCTGCCTGTGGCCTGGGAAAGCAGCTGAGGACGGCCCCAACCCTTGGGATCCTGCACCCATGTGTGGGAGACTCAGAGAAATGCGCTTTGGATCAGCTTAGCTCAGACCGTTGTGGTCATTTGGGGAGTGAATCAACAGACGGAAGATCTTCCTCTCTGTCTCTCCTCCTCTCTGAATATCTGACTTTGCAATAAAAATAAATAAATTAAAAAAAAAAAGTAACAAAACCACTAGAGCTTTTGATTTTAATTAAAGGTATTCTTATCACCATAATACACTGCCAAACAAATGCACATGCACGCTCCACACATAAAAAACACTAAGGAACTGTACAGTCTCGATTTTGAAGATAAAAGGATTAACAAGCAATTCCTATGATGTGACACATTCATGAATGTGAAAAATGGAAACTAAAGTGAAATGTGTGCACCCCTTGAAGTCTTTTCTCACTCACTCCCCCCTACTAGCAAACACCGTAAGCTTGAGTACCTTTTGGCACTCTCCAGCTATCATTTCCATAAGATAATCATTTCTCTGTCCAAACCTGCACTTCATTAATAGGGAATAAAGGTGAGGCTTAGAGGCCAAATCATGTGCTTAAATGCATATCCTGATGTACCAACAAACAGTGCCAGCTGGGAGAACTGCAAAGCAAAAAAACACAGAATTAACACTGCAGTCAACTTACTTTGGGAGTTCTTTGTCTGGAAGGGATCCCATCAAGTATAGCAATGGCATCTTTATCTTGCTTTAGCATTGTGTAACATTCAGCCATTTTGTATTTCACTTCAATTTCAGATGGAAGACACTAAGAGACAGCAAAAACACATCTTCAAAATATGATTTCAAAATGCTTAAGACAGACATCTCATATGACCAGGCAATTTTGCTCCCAGGCATATAGAGCTAAAAGAGCTCAAAATGCCAGGGTCAGTAGCATAGTGGCTAAAGTCCGTGCCAGGATCCCATATGGGTGCCAGTTTTAATCCCGGCAGCCCTCTTCCATTTCAGCTCCCTGCCTGTGACCTGGGAAAACAGCTGAAGGCAGCCCAAGGCCTTAGGACCCTACACCCGCATGGGAGACCCGGCAGTTTCCGGGCTCCTGCCTTCGGATCGGCTCAGCTCCAGCCGTCGCAGCTGCTTGAGGAGTGAATCAACGGATGGAAGATCTTCCTCTGTGTCTCTCCCCCATTGCTTATCTGACTTCCAAATAAAAATAAAATAGACCTTTAAAAAAATGTATTTAGCAGTAATACTCATGGACAGAAGGTGAACAAGCTGCCCGGAATTACGGAGCAGGTCGACGCTCCATCTGAGATGCCTCGTCCCTATCAGAGTCACTGACAAGCTGTGCTCCAACTCCCAGTCCAGCTTCCTACTCCTCCACCTGGAAGGCAGCAGGCCACGACTCCAGTGTGCCAGCTTCTGCTGCCAGTGCTGGGAGACGCTGATGGGATTCCTGGATCCTCATTTTCTTAGCTACAGGCATCTGGGAAGTAAATGGATGATGGAACATTTCTGTCTTTCCACATCATTCTATCATTTAGCATAAACAAAACTTTCTCAAAAGAGTAGTTAAAAAAAAAACGATTTGATTTGAAAGCAGATTATCAGAGAGGACAAAGAGAAACGACTCTGTTCATGGTTTCACTTCTCAGCTGGCTGAAATGGCCAGAGCTGAGCTGAACTGATGCTGGGAGCCAGAGCTTCCGCTTGGCCTCCCAGGTGGGTCATCCTTGGCCAAGACCTTGGGCCATCCTTCGCTGCTCTCCCAGGCCATAAGCAGGGAGCTGGAACACAAGTGGAGCAGCCAGCTGGGGCATGAACTGCACCCATATAGAATGCCAGTGCTACAGGACCAAAGATTAGCCTCTTATATCACCATGCCAGCATCTGCAAGGCAGAGCAACAGACAGAGGGGCAGACTATCTGCTTTTACAGGTTCATTCCCCAAATGGCTATGAACATGGCAAAGGTTGGACGAGGCAAGCCAAGAGCTGCGTTACGGTCTCGCAGTAGGTGACAGCAGCTGCGGGTACTGGGAGCATCTTCCCATGCTCACAGGTGCCTCAGCAGGAAGTTAGATCAGAAGCAAAGTAACAAGAGAATCAAGCTGGTCCTCCAACTAGGATACTGGTGTTATAGACGGCAGCTCAACCCACTGCACCAAAAATACCAACTCCAATGAAGCTTCTTTATTTATATATTTAACCAAATGGCAGACTTGGAGGGAGAGCATCAGAAAGAAGGGTCTTCCATCCAGGGACTAAGTCCCTAAAATGGCCACAACAGCCATGCGTGAAACAGGCTAGCCACCAGGAACTTCATTCAGTCTTCCCACGTGGGTGGCAGGAATACAAGCACTGGGCCGTTTCCTGTTGTTTTAGTAGGCTCATTAGCAGTGAGCTAGACTGGAAGTAGAACAGACAGGATTCAAACCAGAGCCTGTGAAGGATGTCAGTACCACAGGCAGCAGCTTAACCCACTGAGCCAAAACACTGGGACCTAAAAATTTTTAAAAAGGTGAAAACCTTGTAAATGCCCATCAACGAGCGAACAGGTAAACCAGATGTAGTACATCCAAACAATGCAATAGTTGGCAACAAAAAGAACCAGGCCCAGTGCTGTGGCCTGGTAGCTAAAGTCCTCACCTTGAATGCACCAAGATCCCATATGGGCATTGGTTCGAATCCCGGCAGCCCTGCTTCCCATCCAGCTATTTGCTTGTGGCCTGGAAAAGCAGTTTAGTTCGGCCCAAAGCCTTTGCGACCCTGCACCCATGTGGGATCCCAGAAGAAGCTCCTGACTCCTGGCTTCGGATCGCGGCAGCTCCTGGCCATTGTGGCTGCTTAGGGAGTGAATCATCGGATGGATGATCTTCTTTTCTCCTGTCTCTTTATATATGTGACTTTCCAATAAAAATAAATCTTTAAAAAAATGTATAAAAACTGGGGCAGTCGTGGTAGTGTAGGTTAATCCACTGCTTGGGACACCACATCCCACACTGGGGTCCTGGTTCTGGTTCTAATTCCTCTCTTTCAATCCAGCTTCCTGTGAACACACATGGAGAGGCGGCGGACGATGGCTCAAGTGCTTGAATCTCTGCCACTCACGTGGGAAAGCTGGGCAGTGCTCAGGTCTGCGACAGGCCCAGGAACCGTGAGCATGTGGAATACCTATCAGTCCTTCTGCCTCTCGAGAAGAAGTAACAGATCCACATAGCGCACGGTTTGTACAACAGGGAAGGACAGCCCGAGCTGCTCAGAGTCCCACCAGAGAATCCATCACGGTTCTAACTTCCACATCGCTTGTTCACGTTTCTCCAGTCAGCTCCCCTTTAAAATTCTTTCCTATTTGACTACCTTCTACATCCAGTTAGCCATCTACTAAGTTCCTCTGGTTTCTCTCTCAAAAGACCACAACCAAAATCAAACAATTCCGTCTCCAATTACCTGACTCTGTGGAGTAGCTGCCGAATTTCCAGTTGCAGGTCTCACTTTTGAAGTTTTACTAAGGGCTTTCTTTTGCTGTAAAGCCATGGTATACTTACTCACGGCATTCCGGTATTCCTTATCGTGAAACAGGGAGTCGGCATGATAGACCAGGAGCTGGTACTTCTGAGACGGGGAGAACAACTCCCTGTAACAGAGAGACAGGACGGCCGGCACAGTTACTCTGACCTGCCCAGAACGTCTCCGTGTCCACAGCAAGTCTAACACAGAGTCTCATACAGCGACAGTCTAAATACAGTACACACACTGCTAAGTGCTCGTCCCTAATCTGAAGAGTGGAAGGCTGGCTGACTTCCCAAATGGCAGCAATGGTCTGGGCTGTGCCAGGCAAAAGCCACGAGCTTCACTGGGTCTCCCAGGTGGGTGTCAGGGGCTCAAATAGTTCAGCCAGCTTCCACAGCTCTCCCGGGTGCATGAACGAGCAACAGGATTCTGAGTCCAGGAGCATTTATGTGGGAGCCCATTATAACAGGTAGCAGCTTAACCCACCACACCACAGCACTGGCCCGCAGGTTGCTCTTTTTTCTATAAATCAAATAGGCATACAGAAAATGTAGAGCCTTCTCCATCTTCACTCCAAGCACCCTCCGTGTAACAGATACCCAGGTGCACCTCCATCTGTACTACGTTAATGCTGACTCAACCAGCACTACCAAAGAAAGGCAAAGACCTGAAAAGAAGCAGTCTCACCTCTTTGCCTGTTTAGGAAGGAGCGGAACAGAGTCTGACACAGAGGAACTGAAAGCTCTAGATACCAAAGGCCACCTCCACCACTCCAAGGCCACCTGCTCTTGGAGATCTGACCGCTCAACTTCTGATGCGCTGCCGGTGCAGGTGGGAGGGCAGACAGAGGGGCCAGGGTATCTAGGCTCCACTACCCATATGGGAGACCCAGGCCAGATGCCAGCTTCTGGAGCCTGGAACTCCACTCAGGTCTCCCGCATGGGTGGCAGGATGGCAAACATGTGCACCAACATCCACTGCCCTCTTGGATGCACCAGCAGGCAGCTGGACAGAAAGCAGAGCAGTCAGGACTGGACCCAGCACTCTAAATGGGATGGTAAACATCTTCACGTGATAGCTTAACCCACTGCACCATGTCACCGGTCTAATATTGTGAAAAATGTACTTACTATTCAGTAAGACATTTTAAAATATCAATGATACAGGTCAGAACTTAACATCCACCCAAGGTAGGAAAATGTTGGACAAACCCAAAATGAAAACACACAGGCTAACCAAACACTGTGACGAGCTTCAGTTCCCCCTACAGCCCTGTAAGGCCTTGAGGACCAAGGGCAGCGACTAAGCCATGCATTCATTACCAATGTTACAAACTGTTCTGATTGACCAATGGAAAGTTCCAGAATAAACACAGAAGGCTGACAGACAGCAGACCTCCACACTGGGGACACCAGGTGGATGATGGCAAACAGTGGGTCTCTGGCAAGATTCAAAGTCCACTAGCACATCCGAGGGGGGCTGCCCTGCAGGCAGCTGAGGGGGTCTTCCCTTTCAAGATCCCAACAGCAAGCAGGTGGACCCCGAGTGGAGGTGGACACTTGGGGGTGGGGTGTCAGGCAGCGGAGCCCCTCAGCTCAGAGAACCAAGGCCCAGATTCCTGGCACAGACCAGCGCAACCCAGACGTGCCTGGTTACAGGGAGCAGTGGACAAGACATGCCATTCTGGACAAAGTATTTTGCACTTCCTTAGATCAGTTCACAAAGGCTCGTCTTGCAAAGAGAGGCTGTGCCGAGTTCAGTAGGCAATGAAGTAGAAAACGAGGCAGGGTTCCCCCCAACCACCACCCTGCATGAGACGGTTCAACTGGCTATTCCTCCACCTTCAAGAGCTTTATTTAGCATCCCATATGGCCACTAATTCTTATCCAGGCTGCTCCACTCCCATCCAGCTCCCTGCTTGTGACCTGGGAAAACAGTCGAGGACAGCCCAAAGCCTTGGGACCCTGCACCCGTGTGGGAGAGTTCCTGGCTCCTGGTCAGCTCAGCCGTTGCAGCCATCTCTGTTTCTCCTCTCTGTAAAACTGCATCTCCAGTGAAAATACACAAACTTTAAAAAAGAAAAATTCAGTCAGGGTCTTGAGGAGCCAGTTACAGGTCCCGGTTCAACTCGGGCTCCTGACGCCAGCTTGCTGTTTCCACAGAGCCTGGGAGCAGCGGTAAGGGACCCACCCTGGCCGTGGGAGCATCTAGATGGGCGAGCGGGCTCGCTCCCCAAGTCTAAGGAGAAGCGACAACACTAAACACCACCAAGTGGAGGACACAGGACCGCCCTGCGGGAGGGACACCTGCAGGGTCAGGCACAGCAGCGCCCAGGTGAAGGGCCCAGCGCCCTGAGGGTGGGCTCCGCCCCGGGTCTCCACACACACAGCCCGTGGCCGGCGGGGGCCCCTTTGGACACCCAGGAGGACCCCGCGGCCGGCGGGGCTGCGCGGGAAGGAGCCTCGGGGCACGACCGGCCCGGCGGCGGAGGCCTCTGCCGCGCCCCTCGCCGTCCACTCCGCCGCTTCCCGCCCCCTCGGCCGCTCCCCGCCGCCACTCACGGGTTGTTATTACTCATTGTAAGCAACAGGCTGCTGAGCAGCCGCACGTTGGAGTGCAGCCCCGCGGCGGCCATGTCCCGCACGTGGTCTATCACGTTCATCCTGCCCGGCAGAACCGAGGACGCCAGCGGCGGCGCGGAGGGCCGGGAAGCGACGCTCGGGGCCGGCTCCAAGATGGCGGCTGCGCCGGGGTCCTTCGGCTCCGCGCGCGGCCCCGCCCCCTGGCGTAGGTAGCTACCCGAGTGCCTGAGTCCACGGGAAACTCCTCTGGGAGGCAGTGACGTCAAGATGCTGGTTTTGCGTGTGCTTACGTCAGCACCCTACATAGCCGAAGGGGCTCCCAGGCCCCAAAACCCTTCCGGGTGGAATCTGTGCTCGTCTGAAATAAGGTGAGCCTGACAGGAATCCGGGCCTGTCCGAAAGCTAATGAAATGTCTGGACATTTTTCACCAAATAGACGTAGTGGAGAAGACCCTCGGACGGCGGGGATTCAACGTTTTCATCAGGCGCCCCGAGGCAGACCTAGCGGCCCTTCCCACTGCGCAGGCGCACTGGGATGACGCGTCAAGTCCCTCCTCTCGGGACGCGGGTTCCCTCGGCCGTCCCTCCGCGTCCTCGGGGGTCCCTCCGCGTCCTCGGGGGTCCCAGTCGCCTCAGGCAGCCGGCCTGGTGTCCTTGTTCAATCAGTGTGGACGAAGGCCAGATGTGAGGACGAACTGACCCCCCGTAGCAGTCAGCCTCTGGCGCACTTAGCGCATCCCGGGACGCTGACCAACAGGCCCCCCTGAAGTGGACATAGCTTCCTACCCCCGTAGGAGCGTCTGCCACTGAACCCGTCTGTGACACGGGAAAGTGTCTCGGACTTTCTGATTCTTCATAAATCTAGGTTTTTAAAGCTTCAAATAGCCCAGTTTTTAAACCTTGGGCAAAAAAAAAAAAAAAAAAAAAAGTAACAAGAGCCAATACGTGATAGTAATTTGTGCTGAGCCAGCCAACGGAGCATGTGGACACTGGTTCTAGTCCTGGCTGCCTTACTTCCCATCCAGCTCCCTGTTGGTGCACCTGAGAATGCACTAGAGGACGGCCCAAAGCCCTGGCACCCAGCTCCCGTGTGGGATAGCCCAAAGCCTTGGCACCCAGCTCCCGTGTGGGACAGCGGGAAGACTCCTGGCTCCTGGCATCAGGTCGGCTCAGCTTTGGCCATTGCGGCCACTTGGGGAGGGAACCACCAAGATCCTTATGTATCTCCTCTCTGTAAATCTGTCTTTCAAATAAAAAATAAACAAATATTTAAAAAATCATATCTAATAGTATACACAAAATAGAAAATATATGTTTGATGAAGAAATAAAATGTGGCAGATCTGTAACTGTTCAGGGAAAACAAGAGACACATGGTACATGGCTCAGTCTCTAAAATATCAAGCTAAAAATAAAATTATGGAGGTGAAAGAAGCCAGATGGAAAAGTCTGCATAATTTCTGACTCTATTTATATGAAATAGCAAAAAAAAAAAAAATTCCTCAAACTGATACAGAATGTACAAAAGAGCTTCGAAAAGTTCAAGAAAAATGTGAATTATTTAAAAGCTACGCATGGATGTCAAACAATTTCTGCCTCAAAATAAGCATGTCTATTAGCTCCACTTCCTCATGAACTTTCTGAAATTTCTTCAGGATGAGTATCAACTGGCTCTCTAGTCCGGGACTGCCTTCAGCACAGTACTGCCCTCGTAAGAGACCCACAAGAGGGGCGAGCTTTTGTTGCAATGGGTTAAGCCCCCCAGTGGAATTCCCACAGCTCCCACGTGCCTGGGTTTGAGTTCCGCCTCTGCTCCCAACCCAGCTTCCTGTCACCGTGCAGCTGGGAGGCAGCAGCAATGCCTGACTTAGATCCCTGCCACTCACACAGGAGTCTCAGATGGAACCCCTGGCTCCTGTCTTCAATTTGCTCCAGCTTTGGTGAACCAGTGTATAGAAGATAGTGCATGCACTCTCTCTCTCTCCATCTCTCTGTGTAACTCTGCCTTTCAAATAAATGCAAACTTTTAAAAACTGTTTATTGAAAGGGCAGATTTACAATGAGAAGGAGATACAGAAAGATCTTCCATCCGATGGTTCACTCCCCAAGTAGCTGCAGTGGCCAGAGCTGCTCTGATCAGGCGCCAGGAATGTCTCCTCTGGGTCTCCCACACAGGTGCGGGGTCCCAAGGCTTTGGGCCATCCACCGCTTTCCCAGGGCACAAGCACGGAGCTGGATGGGAAGTGCAGCCAGAGTACAAACTGGTACCCACGTGGGATCGTGGCATGTGCAAAGCGAGGATTCAGCCACTGAGCCATTGCACAGGCCCTATAAAATATTTTTTAAATGTTGCCTTTTATTAAGAATTATGCAGCATCTACCGATGTAGATGCTCTCCACTGAACAGAGCAGATGAAGTGGGTTTTAGGGTTTTGGCTTTGTTTTCCAGTTCAGTTCGGGGTGATTTCGTGGCACCGAGTCTGACAGACTCCATTCTGGGTTGGTCTGGTCCACCGGGCCTCCTGCCAGAGATCCTAACAATAGCTTCTTAACAAACGTCATGGAACAGTCTGGAGAATGGGGTGGGCGGGGCAGGGCTTGCCCCGGGCATCTGGCAGTGAAACCCAAGGCTGCTCCTGGTGACTTCCTGTCACTCACAGGATAGCCCCTTCCCCCAGCCAGGCGGGGTGGAGCATGACACACGGAGACAAGCACAACGGCTCCACGGGGCACACTTGTCCAGAGGGAGAAGTCCCACTGCCGGGGCAGGAGAGATGGGTGTAGCAGACAAATCCATGGATTTTATGTGTTTATTTTTAAAGATTATTTTTGTTGGAAAGGCAGATATACAGAGAGGAGGAGAGACAAAGAGGAAGATCTTCCATCTGATGATTCACTCAACAGAAAGAGATCATATCACTAGCTACATGGTGGAAAAAGAAGAGTTGAGAATAACTCCTAAAAAGAAATTGTTCTGCAATAAACCCCCACAAACAAAGTAGGAAACACAGTATTGACAGGGGGCCCTGCAGCAGCCAAGGGGAGCCCACCTGCTCTGGAATGCTTTTCAGATGGGTTCTGGAGCTGAGTCCCATCAAGCTTAGGAACTCACACAAAGGTGAATGGTATTCAATGGGCTAACCTGCCACACATGCGTGGGATAGATCTGTGTAAGGAACAGCGTTAAAGCATAGACACAAGCATATAAAAATAATATAGAAATAAGTGTATTAGAGAAAAGGTATGTGCTGGGAAGAAGGCACAGCAAAGCAGGAGCCAGTCAGTGAGAATCAGGCTATGTCTAAAATTGCACACTGTGCCAGAAATCTGATATAAAAAGTCACCCCTGGGCCCGGTGCAGTAGCATAGCAGCCGAAGTCCTATCCAGCTCCCTGCTTGTATTCTGGGAAAGCAGTTGAGGGCAACCCAAAGGTTTGGGACCCTGCACCCACGTGGGAGACCTGGAGGAGGCTCCTGGCTTCAGATCAGCTCAGCTTTGCCCATTGTAGCTACATGTGGGAGTGAATCATCAGATGGAATATCTTCCTCTGTGTCTCTCCTCCTGTATATCTGACTTTTCAATATAAATAAATAAATAACTAAATCTTAAAAAAAGAAACAGCCCCTTGGAGCTACGATTGCTCTCTTATTTGTAGGAACACCAGCCAAGGCGGTGATCCTGGTTGCGGGATCGCCAGCTTCGGCTCCCTCGGGCTCAGCACAGCGTGCCCTCACTTTGCCACTGCCCAGTAACGCGTACAGCCTGAGGGTTCGTTCCCTTTGGGGCCCAGAGGCTCAGGAGGCATTGGGTGTGTGGACTGTTATATTTCTGTTTGGTTTGCTATGTACAAAATTAAGTCTGGGGTTAAAGGGGCAAGGTGGAAAGGCATCTGTGTTACCTACCCAAGGCGCTGGACCACGCAGCCACCCCTAGAGGGCGACACTGAGGAGCTGGAGGGTAGCTGGCCGTGAACTTTCAGGCTGGCCAGCCCTGGTGATGAGCGTCTTGACTTAAGAACCTGAGTGCCCTCCCCGCTCAGGCTCACCTCAAGGCACCCTGCACCTTCCTGTGGAGAAAAATCTCTCCAGATGCATTAGCTATTTTTCTCAGATCTGTCTTTTGTATGGGGCGGGGGAACACAACACTTGTGAATTGCTCTAAGAGAAACATTACTTAACATCCCTTAAGTGTCTCCTGGCAGAGATGGGCTTCCTTTCCACGGAAAAGTAACTTCAGGACACAAAGTTTGTCTTCACAGCTGGAGGGAATAAACACTGCCATCTTCCCCACTGGTTTTCCTTAGCCCTTCCCAAGAAAGGGGGGCAGAAGGGCAACACACTCTGGCCTGCCCTCTGGTGGGGGGCGTCAGCCAAGGAGGGGCAGAGCTGACTCTTCCAGCTGCAGAACCAGGTAGGTCTCCCTAGTACAGGAAGACTTCTGGAGCTGGGGCCCAGGCCACAAGCACGAAGCTGGATGGGAAGTGAAGCCGCCAGGACTAGAACCAGCACCCATATGGGATCCTGGTGCATTCAAGGCGAGGACTTTAGCTGCTAGGCCACTGTGCCGGGCCCATAAAATGAATCTTAAAAAAAAAAAAAAAAGCCCATAAACAATCTAATAAAAAGCAGTTGAAGTTCCAGTCCAACCATGGTTCTCAAAAACAGGAGCACTGCCCCCTGCTGGAGCATCTTCCCCATCATCTATTTTACCCCACTATTTCCCAAATGCCACACTTGACCAAGCCTGTTTGGAACTCAGGAACCACCCTCCCTAAGTCTTCTCCAGCCAGCATCAGCAATCACGGCCTCGTGCTCCAGGCTTCCTCAGGGAGGCTGGGCTGCATGGCAGCACCAGGCAGGCCTGTACATTTGGGGCATTTCTTCCTTTCACCTCGCTACATGCCCTCATCAGACCGCTACGGTCCTGGAGTGCGTTGCCCACCTATACGCTGTGCAGCCTTCAGTAACTACACGGCACCACAGACTCACCCTCCCTCTCAGTCTGCATGCATCCCTGACCAGCACAGCGACCAGAGGGTCACTTGGTAAGGGGGCAGCTCTGGATGCAAACAGATTTTGTTTTCACACTGCTACTTCTGCCGACTCCCACATGAATGGGTTTGGGCAAATTCTTCCCTTTCTGTAGGTCCCAGCGTCTTTACCTAGAGAAGGGGTGAATCGAGC